CACACCACGCGCGGTGCCACGTCGGCGCCGTGCCTGGGGGGCTCCCCTTCCCTGCGCGACGCTGAGCTGGAGCTGTGTTCCTTGCAGGCCTCGAAGCTGGAGAAGCAGAGCAGCGTGTCTGAGAGTGACTACGACAACCCCAGCACCCCTCAGGAGCTGGAGGAGAGCGGGTAGGTGCCAGGGAGCTGACAGCCTGGTTCCACGCTGGCCGAGGGTGAGGAGCTGTGTGAGCGGCCCGTGGGACCGACCTCTGCTTCGTTCCCTCGCAGGGCTGGCAGGAAGGGCCGGCAGAGGAGCATCATTTGGCAGGGGGAGGGATCCATCCCTGAAGATGCAGACACAGCCCCCAGCTCCAGTTTGCCCAGTACAGAAGATGTGATTCGGAAAACTGAGCAGATCACAAAGAATATCCAAGAACTGCTGCGAGCGGCGCAAGAGAACAAGCATGACAGGTAAGGTGTGAGGGCCAGAAAAGCTCCAGAGTTTGTGAGGAAAGGAGACAGTCCTGTCTGTGCTTTCAGAATTCCAGCCACCACTCTCCATGTTAACACTGGAAACACTGATTTCACACCCACAGAGCGTGTGGGTCTGTGATGTTTCCTGGCTGGGCAGTGACAAGTGACCAGCACAGCAGGGCAGAGACCTGCTCCTTTCCAAAAAGCCAGCACAGCCCCCTGTGAGTGGGCTCTGCCTGCAACTGGGACAAGGAGCAAAGCACTTGTGAAGTCCTGCTGCAAGATGAGCATTGGTTTAAAAAAGTGGTTTAAGAAATCAAATGTGTTGCAGAGAACCTGACCTAAACTCTTTTGGATCTTCAGACCTCTGTGTTCTTAGATAAGGACACCCTGCAGAGGTGTGATAGTAACACCAAGGCTGGATTCAGGAAAAAATTTCAAAGGCAGAGAGAATTTGGCTTTCCTACTGAAACAGAAGTACTGATAATGTACCAGCAAAAGCTATTTTGAACTATTTGGTTGGGACACAGACATAGCTGAGTAAGTGGGTGACTGTTCATTAGCATGTTGGGCAGCAAGGAGCTTCAGCTCCCTCGGGGTGCTTCTGCCCCAGCCAAACACTTCATTTTAAGAATAGCTGTGAGCGAGTAAAAGCAATCCTGCCCTTGATTGATCATCAGGTGGTGCTGCTGCTGCACAGCCTCTGGGGAAGACTGTGAATAAGAGTTGTCTTCCCAGGTGTGAAGGTGGTTTAGGTCAGATCAGCTCTGGCCCCAAAATACGGGACCCTGCAGACTGGCAGATCTTGTGTTCTGTTGGCTGCCCCACGCTCCGTGCCCAGTGTTGCTGTGAGCAGCAGCTCTGGCTTTGTGTTCAGCCCTCCTCCTGCCCTGCTGAGAGGAGTGCACAACAACGAGGCTGCCTCTGTTCTGCTTTTTTCTTCTTGTACTTTCCTGTGTTCA